CACTAAACCTCCTGAGAAGTACAGCCACTCTAGTGCTGTATCCGTGAACAATTAAAGTCAAGACGGTGAGATCATCCATCTTCCTTTTCCTTATGCTTGATATTGCAAATCTAGAGATTATGCACAAATATTTCATATATTGCCAGAGGTTGTATTCAAGTTTTAATACAAAATCCAGTTGTATGTGCTCTAGATGTTATTTTAGAGTTACAGCAGTAACTCACTACAGCCCATTATACTGCAAAATTAATCTGATGTTCTAAAAAGCATTCCTGCTTTTATTTTGGCTATATGAGAGATATATGGTATCTCAAGAAATAAGTAATGCCTGACTGCATTCGAAAATCACCTTTTAAAGTCCAGTTCTTCGTGCAAATAAAGCTTGCTGATGGACTTTAAAAGGTGATTTTTGAATGCAGTCAGGCATTACTTATTTCTTGAGACCTAAGGTTAGGTTACCTACCTGATATCATAGAAAAGCTATTGTACTGCTTTAAAAGAGATTGCTCAAGGCTGTGACAAATTACTTTCCCAGATGTTCTTACTATTAAAGGCTAAATTCACTGAACCACTAACTTTCTGTTAATATATAACATTTTCTCAAGTGCTGCCTTTGGAATAGAAAATGAAAATAAATTATTCTCCAGTACTTAAAAATGCATTCCTTGCATATAAATGTGCTTCAAAGACCTGACTACTTCTTAGTAATGTCTCTGGGTGCGTATTTGAGATCTGCAAACTCTAAGACTTAAGGACCCTAAAAATCTACGAGGACACACAAGCTACTGACGCTTACCTCTGCTGTCTCCAAACTTTTAGATTTCAACATCCTATCAGGCTCAAAATAAGAAGGCATCTCAGAATGTTCATTTACTTTTCATAACACATATGAAACACACCTGTGGATGGTGAATACCTCATTTCAAGCTCTTTCAGTGTTTTAGAAATCATCCAGGACATAAACTGCATGTTCTGTAAGTTATACACAAACTTGACAGCACCAGCACACAGCAAGGAGACCCTTAAAGTAAATCAATTTGATTAACATAGACACTTAAGATGTATCTGCTGGTCTTTTTCCCATCTTTGATCTTAAGAAATCCTTGAGATAGCAAAGATATCAAAGAGGAGTGCAAGTGACAGCAAATCTGCCAAATTGAGGAACTGACATTTTAGGTACTAGAGAGGCATCTGAATGGAGAAAGGGCAAGAAGTCAGGGTTAGATCAATAAATATAAGTAGTAAAAAGCTTTTATCCTAAAGTATGCTCACCCATAATGAGAACTTCAACTTAGCCACTCTGACTCCCTATTCAATAGCACTTACCAGCTGGTGGCAATTCTGAGGACAGATTGAGGAAAGATGGCACTGGCAGACAGGTAATACTCCATGTCTCTTTGAACAGTCCCTCCAGACCTGCAGATCTATAAGACTGAAAATAAAAATCAATATAATATGTTTGAGTGATAAAGAGGAAGAAAAGGCAGTTCTGAATGTTTAAGAATGGGAAGCAAGAAACTGCTTGCCCAGGTAGGGAGTAATTACAATCTTCCAACAACCTACACAATGGGCTTTAAAAAATCACTCTTATTTTCTTTACTCTTAGTCTAATGAATAGTATTAATTCCTATGTGCGAGTGAAAAAGGAGCTGAGCCCTTGGAGACTGAGCAGCCTGGTGAGCAGTGTCCTGGTGGAACAGAAGAACTCAGGGATCAGCTTCAAACTGGTTTGAAAACAGAGCTGGAAAGAGCAATTACAAGTCTCAGGTGACAGTCCTGCTCATCATCTGATGTACACCAAGAGCTTTAAAACCCATGTCTGCCACTACCATCCCTGCCAGACCTGCCTTTTGTTCTCTTCATCCCCTGAAGCACTGCAGGATTTGATCCCCAGGTTCCCCAGGCAGAGCAGCAGCTATGTTCCGCTCCAGGGCATCCTGAAAGCATTAGAGCTTTGACAGGACCAAGCATTTTGCTTGTGTGTCACACCGAAGCCCAGACAGGACCCATGGACCCAATGTTCTCCACTAAGGCACTTGGTCCGCTAGATGTTGGCAAGCTGTTTAGTGTACACTTTTTTCAAAATAGTGTCAGCTCCCACTTTCTTCCAAAGCATGACTGGAGGAAGAGGAGATAACTCTTCCTCCCAGGTACTCACAAATTAGTGTTTAAGTCCTTGTGCAGCATGCTTCCCTGCCTTCCTCTGGGGGTGGAGAGTTCATGCAGTTGGAACTGCAGCCCATGTCTCCCAACTCACTGAAGTACCCTAACCGCCAGATCAGACTTACACTGAAACAGAATTAATTCAGGAACAAGAGAGGGGAATCACAAAAAGAAAAATGGCTCTCTAACCCATTTTACTGTGTGCTGTCATCTAATAGCTATAATGTATATAACAAGGCCTTAAACAGGAGACTGGAAATCCTTCTTCCTGCATAAACACTATGGCAGAAAACCCATGCCCTTGCCAGATGCAGAGTGTAAGAGAAGAGGTGAAAGATATTCCTTTCTTTCAGTACCCCGCTCATAATTAGTCCCTAGCCCAACAGTTACATTGCTTGCTCATAAAGGGACTGTAAACTCCCTGTAACCAAAGAAAATAAAGATTCTGCTTTTGAAAAAAGTCCATTAATGATCAATTTAATGATATAACTCTAATAAAATTGCTGATTTACTAAAAAGACTTCTTTTTGAAGATATTAGGGGCATTTCTGTATTTTTGGGGCCTTTTGATAGCACAAGGGAAATAATGTTATTAAAAGCCCTCCTCAAGCCCCATCAGTCTGTCTGGCACGGTACAGGACATGAAAACAAGAACTGAAAATCTTTCACTGTAATAGATAGTTTGGTAGAGGGGCAGGGAAACACAGGCAGGATCCTGATGGTTTTGGAAGAAGGAGACAGCTATCAGCAATTCTCTGCAATAAAATTCTCTACTGGTGATGCTAGAAACCTTACATTTGTACAGATTATCAAGAGAAAGGTTTCACATCCTAATTAATGTACTGACAGCTTCACACAGTTTGTGCCCATGTATGATCAACAAAGATTTTGAATAGGTACTGTTTTCACATCAGTACTATTTGGTAGAAGAAAGCTAATTACTGATTGTTCCCATCCAAATTAGACTTTTTAAAACAATATTCCTTGTAATTTAGTATGCAGCAAGTTACAGAAGCACCTTTATGTTGTGAAATAGCACAATGAATTAGATTGCATCGTGCCATGATCAAACTTGTCAATATTCAGTGGGAACAAAGAATTGCTGGGCTTACAACCAGCTGTTGCCAGACTTACAAGAACCCTGTGGTTCTGAACTCCTTTCAGACCTTTCGATGCATCCCTTGATCATGATTTCTCTGCAAAGTCTGCTTATTGGCAGATGGCCTCTGGCTGTAAGCTGAGCAGCTAATGTAAGGATCATCACAACTCCCATCAATTTCTTGAGCATTTGGGCCCTGAGATCTCCAACATAAAAAGCAAATCCCAGTCAGCATTAACGAGAAAAATGAAATGGGAAAACAAAGTTCTTATTGCCCTAAGAATTAGTCACTTCCCTGTGATTTGGAGCCTGCCTTCCCCAAATTATCACTATGTCCAGATCTCATGGCTGGAAGCTAAATACCTTGGCCACAGATGGTACTGTCACTTTGCACCTACCCATGCTCCTCGCTTACCGAGGTCTGAACAAACTGAAGTTAAAATTGTTAGTATTTTAAAACCAGTTTAGTTTAAAGAGAGTGGACAAAATATTAACAAATGGGCAGCTACTCCGTATGCTACTGCAGATATCATTTTCATTCCATAAATAGGTCTTTAAGAATTCAGGCTCAACATTTTCAGTTTTGATAGCAGGAGAATGAGACTGAAAAAGTTATTATCATCTTCCTCGGACTGTATTAGCAATGTCATCAACTTAAATTTCACCCAATATTTTGATACATCGAGGCAACTAGAAAAGTTTAATGGTTTAGTCTAAATGAAGACGAGTTTCTCTAAACAAATTAATATTCCAATAGAGGGACTGAAACCAATCAATGTGGAATAACCTGAGGATTAAAATTATTTCACTGGTGTATCATCTGAATACACGGAAATGCAGAGATTCAATACAAAAATAAGAATGATGAATAATTTTTTTATGATAAGGTAGTGCTAAAAAGTCATTGAAATCAACAGCAGTATCACCCACGTCTCACCAGACTTCAATCTGTATTCAATCACATCTTTAACAGGTACCTTGTACCATACTAAAGAATTTCAGTTTGCCTGTAGAATGAATTTTAGGACAAGACAGAACCCTTGAACATTATATGTAGCCACAAACTCTCATATTAAAAGTCACTTTGCTATGTGCCCTTGGAAGAAAAGCGTGATTTACAGCAGCTTTAATACACCAGCCCATTTGCTGAGAATTATTCTATAAATTGTATGTCTGGATGACAATAAATCCACAATTTCTGTTATTTGCTAAACTAGCCCCTGTTCGGTTTCCGTCTCTAAATGTAGGGTACTCTAAATTATGGTGGCAATGTAGTGAGAAACTTCGCTGGGGGAGGCTAAGATCAGCGTCTAACAGAGGGAAGGGTGTTCTTAGGCTTTCAGCTACAGCTTTGCCTCTTCCTGACTTGGTCACGCTTCCTCACTTCCCACAGATCCCATGGCTGAGACAAGCCGGGTACATGGCAATTAATTTTAGATAACCCCTTGTATCACTTGAGAGACTCTCTTGTTCTCATCAAAGCGCAGTTTACTACGGAGCCTCTGTGGGTTTTGATCCCTTAATTTACCGGAGGGTTGTTTTCCAGAGCTAACACGGTGCCTTTTCTTACCGTCAGCCCCTTACGACCACCCTGTGGTTCCATCTCCGCGCACGGGGAGTTTTGATGCATTTAACGGGGACCGCATGTCCTCCTGCCCCCCTCCCGAAAACCCTGCCTCCCCTCCCCGGCGGCGGCTGCAGTGCCGGGCTGCCTCCGGCCACCGCCCCGGGCGCTGAGGAGCTGCCGGGCAGGCTCGGGGCTGGTTTGCCCCGGAGGGGCTGAGCCCACCCCGGCCGGGGGAGCTTCGCCCTCTGGCTTGGCGGGGGCAGCGGGAGCGGTGAGGGAACGGAGCCGGAGGGAAGCGGGGCGGAGCAGCGGGAACTCCCCCGCCCGGGGCCGCGGCAGCCCCCCCGCCCCCGGGGAGGCGAAAGGAGGAGCGGGGGCAGGCGGTGCGCTCCTCCCCCGGGGCACCGACGGCTCCGTCCCGCTGCCGCGGAACCCCCCGGGAGAGGGTTGGGGGGAAGAGGCGTTGAGTCCGGCGGGGGGGGAGAGAAAAGGAGGGAGCAGGAGGGCGGAGGCAGGAGGGGATAAAATCCCCGGCGCCGCTGTGACCGGGAGTCTCCTGCCTTTCCTCCTCACCCGCCGCCGGTACCGGGCTTCGGGCCTCCTCTCCATCCCCGGGGAGTGTGGGGGGTGGGGGGAAAGAACGGGCGAGCACTGCCTGTGCCCACGGGGGAGCGCAGCGGAGCCGCTGCCGCGCTCTCGGCGCCCCCCCCCCCCCCCCCCAACTCTCCCCCGGCGGCGGGGCGGAGAGGAGCGGAGCGGAGGATGCGGGGCCGGGGTTGGAGGCGGAGGCGGGGCCGGCATCGCGCTCCCCGGACATGAAGCGGCCGCCGGGAGCTCCAGGTAACGCTGCCCGGTGGGGTGGCGGAGCAGACATCCCCCCTCCCTCGGTAGACGGGTTGGGGCGGGGGGGGGGGCAGGAGCCGAGGCTGAGAGGGGCCGCCGGAGCCGGGGGGCGAGGAAGACCCGGTCCCACCTCCGAAGCGGCTGTGGCCGAGCCCGCCCCGGGGAAGGCGGTCAGAGACCCCTCGGGAGGGTGAGTGGGCGAGGCGAGGGGCCGGCGAGGTGCCCGTGGGTGCCCCCGGTCCCGCTGCCGGTTTAGTCCGCCATGCTCGCCAAAACTTTGCCCTCCACCCACCCCCCGGGAGGGATCTGGGGGGCTGAAGCGGGCAGCTCCCGTCGGGAGGCTGGCAGGAACCTCCCCACGTCATAGGCAAGGGGGTTTCTCTGAAGTTTAGCCCGTCAGAGGAGCCTTTGGAGGCGGTGAGGATCCTACGCTGGGCAACTAAACTTTCGTAAGATCTGGTATTGCTTGGGGACTGGTTACTGATACTGTAACAGGCACTGCCACTTATTATTGCTTTTTTTCTTAATTATTTGCCGATCTCCTTAGCAACTGAAGTCATTTGCAAGGTTTAAGCTAGGGTGCAGCTTGATTTACAAAGTAACATGGCAAAACGATCGCACTGTTGTTTCACTGATGCATATTTCTCTTGTACTCTCCCAAGAGGGGTAAGAACTGCAGAGTGTTGACTTCACGTAGCTGGTACTGCCATAGACAGACTGCTGATGATTAGTCCAACTCAGGCTCTGTGGTACGTCACCCAGTTGCTCATCTGTGTCTCAGTTTTCTTTAAGCCAAGTGAGTTATCATGGGTGCAAAAAAAAAAAAAAAACCAAAAAAACCACAAAGAAATCTGTCTTCAGATAAATTCAATCTTTAGTGAGGGATGAGTGGGAAAAGATAGTTTCAGCTGGCTGAGGTTATTAGGACAAATTAATCTCCAATTCAGCACTGCTGAGGTCTGGCCAGGTGCTGGCCAGAGAGTCTGCTCCGTTTGCCAGACTGACCTCAGGATCAGCTTGCTGCAAAGGTGATGTAAAGCCATTTTTTCATCACTGTTAGGTCCTACGTCAAGCACAGCTTAACCTAGTTCAGAGATTTTGTCCAGTGTATCAAGACATTACCCAGATGTAGCTCACCAACAGTCACTGCTATCCGATCCATCATGTCCCTAAATCTCATGGATTACAATGGTTGGATAATCCAGATCTGCTCGGTCAGAAAAACTGAGCACAGCTGTTCAGGCAGATTTAATGCAGATAGTGCCTTTCCCACTCAAGAGTGATAAAAACAGAGTCGAGCCCGGAGACTAGAGTGAGGTGGCCACTACAGGGATATTTCCTCTGGCAGCATCCTACACACACACATAGAATGGAAGTTTATGCAGACCTTCCTTATAAGTGTAACATTTTTAAATCTTAATTATGTAGGATGCCACTAGGCTGTTTGAAATTAATGGCTGTGTCATGTACTTCAGTAGGATTCGTAACGTTAGGTTTAAAAGCATGAATAATTGTACTTGTATAATATTGTAGTTATAAATTAATTAAAACCCATTCTAACAGTCACTTTTTCTTCTGAGTTCATGAGGAAAGCTTTGTCAAATGCCATGCCAAAAAATAAGGGCTGTAAGGAAACATTGTTAACACCTGAGCCGTCACTGTTTCATTTCATGTATTATTGTATTTAATACAGCCCTGATTCATCTGATTATAGACTGATAAAAGGGGGAGATCAACTGTATGGGCATTGGAAGTCAATGAGAAGGTGCAAAGGTGCATGAGTGACTTGTGGGATGGCGAGACTGGAGGACAGTCGTCAGAGGAGAGATGGTCATGGGAGACATGACACAAGGGAAGGAGCTAGGAGATGCAGAAACAGTGTGGACTTTCTGAAGCGTGGACTGAGATTTTTCATATTTTCTAGTGTTTGAGCTCTCCAGAGGCTCAACAGTATTCCCACAGTCGTACAATGGGGTTGTGTGCAAATATTTGCATTTTCACTGTGCAGAAAGTGCCAGCCAGATGTAGGACTACTTACATCACCAATGTACAGGAAGATGTTATTCCTACTGTAAAGCATTTGTGAATACAGTTTGTTTAACACTGAAAAGACTAACGGTAATGTTTGCAAAAGCATTCAGGTAACTTGTGATCTCCAGCCCAATTCACTGCTTAAATTAAGAGATGTGCTACATAAGGATTTTTTAGCAAAGTCTCAGATGAACTGTGAGAGACAGCTTGTCGTACAGTTTCTTTGGAAGAAGCAGCAATAAGCCTGAAGGTACTTACAGGAGAAAAGAAAGCTGGTGCAGAGATTATTAATGTAGCATTAGTGGGAGAGAGAGTCCAGAGAAAGTGGAGATGAGTGTTTAGGGGATTAGTTGATCTTGCAGTGATAACTGATGGTGGGGATATTTATGGTTGCCCAGCATTCCCCTTTTCCATAATCAGCTCTAGGTAGTCATTACTTAAAAAACAAAATAAAACAAAAACAAAACAACAAAACAAACAAACAAAGGGACAAACAAAAACAACAAACTAACCAAACAAAAAACAACACCACACACACATTAGAAAGATTAACATCAAGAGCTAAATCCTCACTTTCTTTAGGAGGTGATCTGTTGTAGTTATTTGAGCTGTTCCTGACAATAGAGGATATTCCCTATATATCAGGATATATCCTGTGTTTCTTCTCAAACAGTTAAGAAGCATGTACATCACTGCTGCACAGATGATTCCTCTCAGGGAGTACTGAGTTTTTGGCAGTGAACTTAAAATATCACACTTGCCACAAACAAATGATTTATTTGAAAAAAAAAAAAAAAAAAAAAAAAAAAGTACAAAACTCCCAACCCTGCCCTTCACTTTACTATAAATCAAAAAAGCTATTTACCCAGCTCATTCAGAAATAATGGTAGAGTACTTAGCCAGAGTCTGTTGGCACATGTTAGCTAATAGTATTTAATAACAATATCTGTCTTGAGAAAATATGTAATACTGAAATTCGTAAAATAGTACTTTTCTGAGACCTGAAGTAATGTTGCTGAGATGAAACAGATTGACACTTTTTAACATAAGGCTGATTGTAAGCTTTGCTCTTCCTTGCCACTTAACATGTACACATTACCAGCCCAGAAATATTTATGCAGTCATTTTGAGTAAGTTCAAATGATCCCATAGGTTATAAATATTTATACTGAACATGCTTGGCTTTGCAGACCATCCATTGTAATCTATGCAGAAGTTTTGGGGAACACATGTTGAGGACCAATTTGCAACTCAACAGTCCTACTCTCCAAAAGGGCAAATAACCCACTGGGAATGTAAGCACTGCACTGTGAGTTGGGCATGGCAGGGAAGGTTTCTGCTTGTCAGGGTACTCATCAAATAGTCCTGTGTGTCCTGTGATATGTTTATGATAGCTATAATTTGGATTTGCCTCGTCAGGTACAGCAAGGTATCTGAAACAGTTTTTATGTGGCAAATCAATAAGCTTTGAAAATGGACAACCCAGTTTTCAGCCCTAGCAAACTTTTTTTGCTCCTTAGAACTCAAAGGTATTATGCTGGTTTACACCAGCCACTGATCTACCCTTGGGATTTAGTCGCAGACTAGCTTAGAGTTTCTGGCAAGATAGTTGTAGGTATGGACAGAAACAAACATGCAAGGCTATTTAGTATATTATACTTGGTAATCCTTCCAAAACTGATCATTGACCTAGTATGTCCCACTTGGAGTTTCTCCAGGATTGCAGTTATATTCAACATAGGAGCTGATTTTTGAAAGAGCCATTTATCTTTTTGCAAGTGCAGTTACATTAAAAATTAGGCTGCATAGGTTGCAGAATCAGGCATTCAAATATTAGTTAGAAAGGCAACCTATACAGCAGCAGTTCGTCTCCCGTTTTGTGAATGCTTTATAATTCAGTCTTCACACACATGATTTTACGGTATATGGTTTTCAGATATCTTGCTTCATGCAATAGACTAACTAAATGAGAATTTATTAAATTATGTTTTCTTCTGTCAATGTGTTTCCATTTTGCCTTATATACTGCATGCCATACAAATGCACACTGAGGTACCAAGTTAATTTCTGATGGTCATTTCTATAATGTTTTGTAGGTCTCACCCCCTAGAAGAACTTGTGTCTATTAACTGTTGCCATAGAGTAGCTAGCTAGCAAAAACAACCAAGTTAGGTGCTTAGGACTGCTTAAAAAAAATTCTCCTCTGGGTTCATAATTTTCCACTGAAAACCCCATGCAGTTAGATACTTCAGTAGGATCTAAAAGCCTAGAAGACTTTATGAATCTTGATACTAACATTCATTCACACCAATCCATTTATTTTTACAGTATTTTTATAGTTAAGATCATGTTGCTGCATCCCTTTTATAGTCAGGGAAGCAAGGAGTACCCTTACAGTCAGAAGTGTCAGCTAGTCATAGCATTTTGACTCTTATCTCAGCACTTCTTCAGATCGGTCTTTCCCAAATTTAATGCACAGAGCTTCTCTATTTTCTAAAAGTCAAGCTGGCAACTGTAATACATTCATTATTTTGTAACAGTCACCAGTTCACATAATTTTCCTGATCTCACAGGAATTCTGTGGAAGAAGCTAGGATATGCTCCAGTTCCTAGGTAAAGGTGTTTACTGAACTCTTGGTGTAATCACCCTTCCTTTTCCCTATTCTTCCTCAGAACCAGTGCACAGTGTGAGGAAAGGTTTTTGGGGGGGGGGGAAAAAAAATCGTGTAACTAAAGACTGTATATAAAATCTACAATCTCACAGAAAACCTTAATTGTGACACTTTAATTTTTGAGCACTTGACTTGGCAGTCTTGCCACTCTTAATACAGTTTTTGGGAATGCAAACATTTAAAGCCAATATATATTTAAATTCTTGTGAAAGGTGAATTCTCCCATCCTGCTGCCTTCATATTTCTTCTTTTAATGGGTCATTACAAGGTCTGGCTCTTTAGATTCGTAGCACATCCTTTTCCACTTGACTTGAGAGTAGATTTGTCAGCAAAAGACAGCAGCCTGCCATATTGACAGCGGGTTAGAGAGGAGGGGAATAAGGAATTGAGGAGGGAGTATAAATTAGTGCATTTCACATATATTAATTAATTGCACAGATAATCTTGGATTCATAAGTAGCAGATGCAAATTCTCCAGAGAAGTGCATTCAAAGGTTCATCTCCTGAAACTCCTGCTTCTCTTCTGCTTAACTCTCTTCTTGCCCTTTATACCCTCCCCATCTGCTTTTCCAGTCTTGTATGCCTTAACTGACTTCTGAATCCTCAAACTACATCTTCCTCAGTTGCTTCATTAATAACGATGATAATGCTCCATTAGTATCACCCTTGCCTGCTTTTGCCCTTCTTTCCCTATGCATCTCTTACCCTCCTTTTCTGTCTCTCCCCTTTTTTGGCTGCTTTTCTGTCCTGCTGTCCTCTACACTTTAGGTCTTGATTTTCATGGTTTTTTTACTCAAGACTCATCCTTCTTTCATCCATCTGGCAGCATCAGAGAATACAACTTCTCCTTTTATTCTGCTTCTTTCCATCTGAGGTTACTTCTTTCTCCTCCCGGTTGCCCCCAGGCAGCCTCACAACTCCCGGCCATAGCTGCGCTTAGCAGCCCAGAGCAGACATTGCGGGGTTTGTCCTGCTCAGAGGCTGTTCCAACGGGTGGGTGAGATAGAGGAAATGAGTATGAGGTTAATATGTGGGAGCTGAATACTGCATTTGAGCTGTGAAGGGATGGGGATAATCAGTGCATATGGATTCACCCGGGAATTTACTGACAAACTCTTAACAGGTATCCAGGGAGAGCAAGAGTGAACTGAAATGTTCATTACTCTGCTAAGTATGTGCACATTTTCTTAGGAGATAGCAAAAAGCATATCCCTTGGCACAGAATCAGTACCCTGCCAAATGTCACGTCCCTGCTTCAAACTATAGTGACACTAAAATATTCTCAGAAAAGAGTATGGTTGGAATTGTTCTTACCATTTAAGTAGGAGCAAAATATTTTTTTCCTTTACTAAGTTTTGAGAAATGGCTGGCTCATGCTTACTGAAAGTTTCCCAAAACTTGAACCTGAGGTAGACGCCTGGCATAGATTTCTTCCTCAGCAGTTATTTTGGCAAAGGTAGAAGTAGCAGAATACAAAATATTCCAATCTTGAATAACTTTAAAAATGGGATGTTGCTACCTGAACTATCAGTTACTGAATTAAAAAAAAAAAAAAAAAAAAAAAAGGGGAAAAAAAAAATATCATATGACATTTAAAGCTCAATAGTCTGAGAAAGTTCTTTGCTTAAAAAAGATTGGGAGGAAACACATATTGTAACTGCTCCCCACTAGACAAGAAAATAACTTTTGGATGAAGCTTTTTCTTGCCTGTACCAGGAGTTTTCTATATGGGTTGGTCTGGAAACAGGTAGGGGACACCGTTGTCCAGTCATGTTCCACACAGGAACATTTCTGATTTATTTTTTTAATGAACTGTCAGAAATTGCATTCCTTGGTCCAAGACTGAAGAATAGCTGCATTGTTTTGAAGAGAAAAAATATACCTGTCGTGTGAATATTTACACAAGTGCAGAATTCCATGTTTACATAAAACCAATGTTAAGCTTACATCACTTAAGAAAAACCAGATTTTATAACCATATGAAACATTAAGGATTAATTACCAGTATTTTTCAAAAGGCATGCACAAGAAATCAGGCAGGGTGTGAATCGTAAATGTTAACGTGCTGTACCTCTGTATCCCTCTTTTGACAGCAATTAGTGCAAAGCTAACTGCACATATAATCTGTGTCAAGGAGCACTGGGAGACAGCTAAGAGCCAGTGACAATGTCTTTAATCTGGCGGACAATTCGTACCCGACTTGGAGTTTTTATGAACTGCAAAGGACTGGCATGCCTCTTGGTCTTCACAGTGAGCGTTTGTGGCAGTGCCTCGGGGATGTGTCCAACAGCCTGCATCTGTGCCAGTGATATCATAAGCTGCACCAATAAGAACCTTTCTCGAGTGCCAGGAAATCTTTATAAATGTATGAAAAGGCTGGATCTGAGTTATAACAGAATTGGGTTTCTGGAGCCTGAATGGGTCCCAGCGCTGTTTGAGAAACTGAACACTTTAATCGTCAATCATAATAGCATTAGCAGCATTATCACTGGAAGCTTTTCCACAACCCCGAACCTGAAGTACCTAGACTTGTCATCCAACAGCCTGAAGACACTGAGCAGCCCCGTGTTTCAGGAACTAAGGGCACTAGAGGTTCTCCTGCTGTACAACAATCAGATAACACAGATAGAGTCTTCAGCCTTCGGAGGATTGTACAAATTGCAGAAACTATACCTAAGCTATAACTTGCTCTCACATTTCCCACTGGACTTGTACACTGGAAAATATAAACTGACAGACCTCGTGCTGCTGGATATTTCCTTTAATCACATCCAGTCAATGCCTATTCAGCGCCTGAGTTCAGTGCCGGCCAAA